AACGTTCAGTAAAACAAAAAGCGTGACGTAAAACACGAGTGACGAAACGGAGTCACTACAACAGCCACAACGCGGATGCCTGCAAACGACAACACTGTATTGGAAAAAGGAAAAAGCGAATTTTTTGCCGTTAATTGTGTTAAACGACAGCTACTTTCATTGCAGTCGTATGGTTCATCACAGCACCTTTGCAATGCATTCCGGAATGCTTACTGGTTGTTCATTTATGGGATGAAAACAGCATCCGTTGAGCCAGGGTGAATCACGGTAGAATTCCCTGTTCGACTCAGGGGAACTGCGTTCACTTGTTACACACGCTGTTTTTGATTAATTACGTTAAACTTTCAAAAAGCCTAAACAAGCTCTATGTATTGCTCTTGTTACCGGGATCCTTTCTGACGGTGTAATTTGAGTATTGAGTTCGACGAGCACTACACACAGGAAAACCGAATGAGAATAATCAAAACATGATTTTGGGATTTCAGTCAAGTCAATATAACAAAAAAATCATCAATTACATTCATTCAGCAGATTTGCTCGATATATAATCGCTCTCCAACGTTGTATCCGGACAGTCATCACAGTGCGTTGTCACTCACATTGTGCTTGATACACATGTGACATATCCCAGGTCAGGTTAGGTTTCTGGGACGAGAACAGGCTTTCGCATAATGTGCATCCAGGTTCATACACCAGTATGAGTTGAGAGTTCCTCTGGTGGTACGACGCGAAAATTATATCTGTGGATTGTGATGCATTCTGTAGTTTCGGACAGCTACCCAAGAGAGCAACAATCCCGGGGGGTTACTTCAGGTGATGCTGTTAAGTGTTATATCAAAGGTTTACGGAAGGATGGGCAGTATTGATAAGAACTAGCAGTACCATTGTGGAGTCTCGCTTCCGCACTCAAATTAGAGACCGGCAGTTGCAATACAGTCAGCACTGACCACAAAGGAGACCATCATGTCACCTTTTGTGGGATTTTTTTGTGAGTTGCAATGGTAAGTGATTTGCTGTGATACATTCGAGTGCGTGCTGTATGGTGTACACTTCTCAACAATAGTGATCGAGGAGCAGAAGTTAGAGAGAACCTCCTTGATGAAGGAGTAAGTGACCGGTTTCTCGACGTTTGGTTAAACAGATTTATTGCTTGTAATATGATTTATCCTTAAACGATTTTTCATGCTTTGACGACAGGAGTGAGTTGAATACGAAAATATCAAGAGGTACAGTAAAACAAAATATTTCTTGTTATCCCAGTTATCCACCGTTTTCCATTTTAACTGTTTCACCTTTTCACTTTGAAATCTATCTGAGTCATTGGATTTTACGTAAATCCGTAGCCCTGGTAAAGAAAAATGGACGAATCTCGAACAACGTTAATCAAAACAGGGCGTCTGCAACGTCTACTGACGAAGAGTCTCAAAAGGATCATGAAACGGGTGGACAAATATAGGTCGTAATATAGAAGTAACCGCTTGCTCAGGGACTAGCCAGACTTCCAGCTGATGCGCAACATTGAAAGCCGGCAATAAAATTCGTCCAGTTACCCACTGGGTGGTTTATTTTGACGAACAGTCAGCCTGGCTCTAGTCAAGTTGTTGCGTCGGGTAAAGCTGAAGCTCGGTGAGCAGCAACATATGATCCTCCGACAAAAGCAGACGTACGGTTTCGCGTTCAAGCTGTGAGAAAAAGGTAACTGAACCTTTTTATTTATTCATTACACAATGTGAATTACAGTAAAGGGGAAATCCCCATAGACAAGTAGCATACTGTAAAAGAGAGAGTATGGAAACATTCATGTAAGATCCAGTTTATTGATTCTGCGTTTAAAAAGTGAAAGATTGTAATTTGGGGAAAAAACAGCAGGTGCGAGGGCGTTCCACAGCTTGCAGTTGTATTATTGTATTATAGATGACTTGTGCAGGTGACTGCTCTTATTTCAGTCAAAAATGTGTCCATCGTTACAGTGGGATAAAAAATGGAATGAAGATAATATACAACAATGATAAAACTTAAATAGGTGTTCATCTTTCTAAGTTTAAAATTAGTTCGTTACGGATCCTCACCGTGTCAATGAGAATACGAGCCAAATAGGGAACCGTTGAGTTGCGGTAAATGTTTATGCGGAAGGGCAAGCAGCGAAAATTGGATCGAGTTGAAGCGTGAGAACGGCAAGCAGATAAATCGGGATTGAGTGGATGACTGGGGTCACAGTATCTTTTGAGCGAAGTTTTCACATTAAGTTCGAGGAAAAAGAAAATTGGAACAGAGAATTACTGCATCTGAAACAGAAATCTGGTAAAGATGACTAAATGCCTCTGCGCGGGATGGGCGGGTAAAAGTTGCAGGAAGAGGAAGAGATACTTTTCTCCAGATCAACGACTTTGACACGGTCAAGTATTTGCCGTAGACTGTCGGAATCGTTTCATAAAATGACATTATCGTCGACAAATTCGAGGTCAGTTGACCAAGTATTATGACCGATTTAAATTTCTCGAAAGTCGTTTAGAACACAGCGCATTAACCAGTCTATAAAGCAAGAAACACTTGATAGACCAATACGTTCTGTTGCTTTATTGGGTATGCTCTTCGAAGCTGCAAAGTTCAAAATGATGCTACAAGACTAGCTGTTGACTAGTTCCTCTTTGAAATCAGATGGTTGGGAATTAGTTACATTCTATTGCTTCTCTTAGACGGTTGCCTTGCCAATGAGGGTGGTGGTGGCGCAGGGGTTTAGTCGCTGTCATCGGCATGCTTTGGACCCTTCGATCCGAGATTCGAAGCCGACTAATCTGAATTCGATGGGACAACGAATTCTCCATCAAATCATTACCAAATATGCGACACCTTACTTCCTAGTTGCCTACACGCTCGCTCCATCCAATCATCATCGTACAGTGAAATACAGNAAATACAGTAAAGCGAACTTCACTGACCGCTGCCAAACTCACAATGCATACAAGGTTAGTGGTAAAATTTAAGGTGGATAGGGGTTGGATCTATTTTGAGGAAGGGAGAAGAAGATGAGCCACTATGGTCAACACACAATACGCAATCGAGCTCTGCATACATACCGTTTCAAGCATTCTGACCGGATAAGGAACGACAACAAGAACGTCACTGCTTCCGGTTCGCTGCCATATCCTTCAGTGTCTCCAACCAACCAGTTGTGGAGTCTTTCGGACCCCAACCTGGAAGGCGAGAGACACCTACTCTACCTAATGGCTCTGTGCATTTCTTCATG